AAGGATTTTTGAAGGAGAAAGTGATGCATTGTTGGTCTCTTGCAGAGCAATATGTTTCTTAGGCACAGTTAGGACTCAAAGGTGCTTTACCTATGTTTTTCAGCATAGGCTCTATTTACAGTTCTATAGATTGCAGTTAAATGCTATTCAAAATTCAACTCTACTTTTTCTAGGAAGGGGAAATGCTTGGGCTTTTTACCCCTGTTCTCAGTAATGACCTCTGTGCTTTAAAACAAACGAAATAATTTTCAGAGTTTAATGGGCTTTTGCCTTCAACAGCTACAAATAATCTAATTATGTAGCCACTCTGGGTACTGGATGATTTAAGAATTAAAGACACGATTAGAATCTGTTACAGTAATTAGCATCCATTTTAAACCAATTGCCTGTGGCATTACATGGTCCAGTGAAAGAAAGGCTGCTGGCTAAATGCTCTTCTTCCACTAAATGCAAAAACAAATGTTAGTACTTTTTTTTTTTTAATTAAGAAAGTCAAGATTTCAGAATTCAAGTAAATCAAATTATCTGTTCTTTTTTATGCTGGTTTTTAAATACTTCATATGTTGCTGAAGCCAATGGAAGAACGAACACTGATTGACCGGTCTTTGGATCAAATTCACTGAATAAATTTGTGAATTTAGTGAATGAAAGGAAAATTACAAATTTAGTGAGTGAAAGTGTTATTACTTAGGTAAATTAGAAGTCATAATGAAGGAGACGTGGGTAGATTGGGAAGCACTAGGAGAACTTCTGCATGCCCCACAAATCAGCTCTAAGTATTTGCAGGAGTCGGTGAGCAGGTGGATATGGGTAATCCAGCTGATACAATGCTCTTGGATTTCCAGAAATCTCTGACAACACTGCTTTGTCAAAGGCTGTTAAAGACATTAAGCTGTAATGGCAGAAAAAAGATCTTTTGTAGAAAAAGGATGGGTTGAACAACAGAAAACAAGGGATAGGATTAAATGGTTTGTTTCTACAGTGAGGGCAGTAGCAGGTAGTGTCCAAAAGCCCTCTGTGTTCATCAGTGCTGTTCCGTCCATCCATGGCCTGTTTGTGTGGACACTGGAATGGAATAAATGTGCTGGCAACACACGCCTATTGGCTGTAGAGAATTGCAGAAGGTCCTCATAAGTCTCAGCTAATGGACAGCAAAGTAGTTCAGTGCTAAGAGGCAAAGAGTTGTACATTAGTTGAGGGATAACCCCATCTACATATGCAAAACTATTTGTCATTACTTAGGAAAGAGAGGAGTGCCATGAAATGGTCAGAGGTCTGGAACACCTGTCCTATGAAGAAAGACTGAGAGAATTGAGCTTGTTCACCCTGGAGAAGGGTTTATAAGAAAGATGGAGAAAAATTTTTATCAAGTCCTGTAGTGACAGGACAAGGGGCAACGGTTTTAAACTGAAAGATAGCAGATTTACATTGGACATAAGGAAGAAATTTTTTTAAAAAGAAGGTGGTGAGACCTTGGAACGGGTTGCCCAGAGAAGTTGTGGATGCCCTGTCATTGGAAGTGTTCCAGGTCAGGTTGGACAGGGCTTTGAGCAACGTGAACTAGTGAAACATGTCCTTGCCCATGGCAAGGAGGTTGGACTAGATGATCTTTAAGGTCTCTTCCAACCCAAGCCATGCTCTGATTCCATGATTTTGGAGTCACCGAGCTCAGTGTGCAGGGATGGTCCTAAAGACTAAAAGAAAGGTAGGACTTACTAAAGTGGGAATTGAGAACAAGGCAGAAAATATTGCTACATCACATGAATTCATGGTGTGTCCATGTCTTGAATATTGTGGTCTGACCACCTGCATCTCAAAGAGGATGTAGAAGCACTAGAAAAGATTCAGAGAAGGGTACAAAGGTGACCTGGGCTTGAGATGCTGACACACAAACGGAGCCTGAACAGATTTGGACTAAGCCTGGTAAAGCAATCATTGAAGGAGGCTATGCAAGAGGCTGGACTAAGGATTTTGACAGTGAGGGAGCTATTCAGTGTCTCTGATCAGCAGGTTTCCCCCTCTTTCTCTGCAAAAATGCGCATCTATGCAGGGGAACATAACTTCTTTCATTTCTTTCTTTTGCTTTTTACCCTCCATCTTATACATCATGAAAGTTCACAGGGCACCAGCTCAGCTGCAGACTGCAGGAGCAAGGGGAAGCCAAAGGATATCTAACTCAGGCTAGAGGGCAAAAGCTTGAGAAACTCCCACCACTCCAAATTTGTTAGTGAGATGGCAGCAGCCACACCATGCGCTGCGGAGAGCGTGTTGTACCCGACACCAGCACTGCCTGTGCCACCAGACACATGTGAAAATGCAAAGAGTTAAATAATTTATAGCCCTGCCACTCTAAGTAGCACTGAGAGCCTGGAGACTGGTAAATGATACATAGAGCACCTCTTTGTTCAGAAAGCATTTCCTATTAGCAAATGATGTAGAAAACACCTCGTTCTTCAGAAACCGTTCTCTGCCTATCCTGAGTCAGATGGTGGCAGATCAGGAGGACAGGGTTGATGACTGACTTGGTTGCATGTGTGATCTGGGATCTATCAAGGTTCCTTATAATACTGGCATTTTTCTTTATTCCATTAGTAGAGCAATATGCCATGGTGCAAACTCAGTCCAGCCTGGCAGTGACTAGCTCCGCAGATTCTTTATAGCTTGCTGTGTGCTTGCTTCTCTGCCTGTCTCCTGGAGCACATCACATTTGCCAGAGCTCCTTCATGACACAGTTGCCAGGCTGGGAACCGACCCATCTTCCTTCAGCTTGTCTCCCCATGCCCTTTGCTTCCACGAGACTAGCAAACCAGCTCAGCACCACTTCATTCCTGCACACCTCAGTGTGCTTGCCTGCATTCATTTATAGCTGTTTAACCTAGTCCCTGTTTTGATGACAGGGTCTGTGTGAATGAGATGGAGCTTGCCTGATCAGCCCACCTGTTTTCCTGACATCCACCATTCCCTTACATGTGTCCTTATCCAGCTGCAGTAAAGCAGGACTCTGTCCTCTTCTCTCCTGCCACACTTTAGTGCTTTCCGAGTTGTATTTTTCAGAGTTATATAAATAGGGACCATGTTGCTATCACTTACCATAGTAATAACAAATAACATCTGTGGCTCATCTGATCACTGTTAGAAGGAAATTCTCTAGAGAGCAGAAAAGGTGTTTTTACAATGGGTAAGTTGTTATCAGTTATTACTGCAAAGAATAGTCCTAATTTTTGAAATTAAATATCAAGATATCAAAGAGCTAAATCCTCCTGCTACACGACATAAACCATGTTCTAACTAATAGGGCTTAAGTAATATTTTTTTCTGGATTCATTTTAATAATGAGCTAATTCAGATACTCTGGCAGTGAGCCCCTATCTGAGGAAAGATGCTGAGCAACGTGGACCACTAGTTTGCCCCTGGGATGGTCATTCTAACCATGCTGTGAATTTATTTGTGTTTAAAAAGGACAGTAACTTCACACACACTAAACACAGACACCACACACAGATGCAGACAAACCCAGTATGTACAAATTTAAGGAATGCTTGACTTTTTTATGTTATGTGGAGAATGCACTGGAAATTCTTGCACTTAGCAATGTCCAAGTTTTGAAAAGCTGGACAGAGTAAGTAATATGTTTTCTACTGGATTGTTAAAAAAGTGACTGTAGAGATATAAGATATGATTCATCTAATCTAAATGAAGACATCTACATCTGAGTTGCTCTAGGCTTCCTTTATATTCGAGAGCTAGGTATTTTTAGGGTGGACTTCACCTGGCCCGTGCTAGACATCTACATCTGATCAGCTGAATAGACCCCAGAGCCACACGTGATGCTGTTGAACCTCACCAGGTCTTGGAGGATGCAGAACTGTCCTCCTGTTGAGAGAGGGCTCCCACTATTCCTTACTGCGCAGAAAAAGATACAGCTATTTTAAGCCATAAAAATCCTAGACTGCTTTTTCTTAGACTGTGGGCCAGCATGAAGAGGGAGGACAGGACACAATTCAGAGTGGCGGCAGGCAGTAGTGTTAAGCATCATCTCTTTTCCTTCCCCTTGGAAGAATGGTAACAGATTACAGTTTCCACAATAATTTGTATTAGCCAGGGAAGTGGCTAATTACCTTTGATTGCTGGCAACACTCATCTCTTCCAGGGCAAAAGAGTGAATTTTTCCTGCTTCTGAATAAATGAGCTGCCAATGTTCGGAGGGGATCTACAAAACCAGATGAGCTGAAAGGGAACTGTGCTTTCAACATGTTTGAGATCACTGCCCCAGGGGTGTGAGGAAATCCCTGATGGCATCAGACACCAAACTCTTCCCAACTCCCTCACCGTGGGACTGTTCTGGACTGGGGGTCCTGACACCACGGGAATGGAAAACCCATGCTCCCATGCCTGGTTTTGGGCCTCTGGGTTTTGCCAGTGCAAAAAGAGATTCATCAAGTGAGTCACTCAGGGCATCTATTTTGGGCTGCAACTCTGAACTGCCCTGTGGAGAAATTCCTCCCATTTACCATGTACATATGTATCTAATGCCTCCTAAATAGGATGTAGAAATACCCCACCATAAGCACTGAGAAAGGCAGAAAAAATCTGCCTGTAAGAAACATCTCCAAGCAGATTACCCTACTAAGAAACTGGGAACAACCGACTTACATAAAACAGTGAAATCTTTTTTTCGGTTGAGATTATTTTTTCTTTTCAGATGTTGAGGTAATGATGGATAATCAATATGGGAAATAAACACATCTTTAAAACAAACTTGAACCCAGTAGTCCTATCACTGATGTATATTCTTTCAGTGACAGTTCTGCTCAATTCTCCTCCATTTTCTGTTGTCGTTGTTGATTTCCATTGCATAATTACTACATTACAGCACTTCTTAGGCTGTGGCAAACAAAATATTGCAGGCAGAGAATACAATTTTAGACTGCAATATATATGTCAAGTCTTTTCAAAGGCTAGAAATCTGCAATTACATGCTGAAATATTGCCTCACTTACCAACTGATATGGTCCAAACAGCAATTATTTTTGCAAAAGCCTTAGTTCTTGAGTTAAACCGGCTGTGATGGATGGGGTTTCGAATGGCAATATAGCGATCCAGTGAGATGGCACAAAGGTGCATGATGGAGGCAGTGGAGAAAAGCACGTCCAAGGAGATCCAGACTGCACAGAGCTTTGTAGGTAGAGGCCATGTGTATCCTGAACAAGAGAAAGTTGACATCAGCTAAGAATGTGACATACATCTTTTGTTGTGACACATACGTCTTAGTGCATATATCCTTCTAGGAGGAGCTGATAGTAAGTGATGCATTCAATCGAAGCTGCCTGACACTGTTTTAAGAAACCTTTTTTATTTGCTTGCAACCTTCTAACTCCTTAGCTTTTGGGATTAACTCTGCTTCTTTCCCAGGCTACAGGCAGTGTATATTTTCTTCTTTTTAATTCTATTTGCGTAAAGCTAATGCTTGATGTTATAATTAACCATTTCTGGCAGCAAATCTATGGAAAAAGAAGCAATTTTGTCATTGTAAACCTGCAAGTTCTCAATTTTGTTTAAGGACTTTTTATCCACATAATTACTGCGTTATTAACACCTGCTGATATGCAAAGCTGCCCAAATTCTGAAACTGAAACTTTAGATTTAGTGGCAGCTGAAGAAAGAAATGTATTTTGTTGCATACCAGTGATATTTATCTCACCTGTCTTTAGGCACTCACCACTTACTTAAGTAAGGATATTCACTGTATCAGTGAATATTGATAGGCTCCTCTAGAGAGGGCAATCCAAAGCAAATGCATTAGTGTTTACCAATATCCAACCTACATCTTCTTTGCTGCAAATTAAGCTTTTCCTTTTCCCTTGTTCTTTCCTCTAACCATGAAGAATAATTGATTGCTGTCCTTTCTGGAAGCTATTGGAAGATGGCTATCGTGTCTTGCCTAGTTTCCTTTTTTTCTTCTCTTCCAGACTAAGCAAAGCCATTTCCTTTATCTTTTGCTTACAGGTGATGCTTTTAAAACTTTCATCCTTCTTATTTCTCTACCCTGGAATCTATTTAATTTATCCACATCTTGCTTATCGTTCAGTGACCAAAACAGGACTCGGTACTCTTGCAAAGGCCTCCTGACTGCTAAGCGAAATACAAGATTGCTTCACGGGTCTTGCAGGGAATGTCCTTGCTTACACAGGCTGGAATGATGAGTGCCTTTTGTATAAAAATGTCATACTAGTGACACATGCCTAGCTTATGATCCATTTTCACAACCAGATCTTGTTCAGCATTCCTGAAGCCTGGACGTATTTCCCCCGCAGTAGTTGGTTTGCTGTCTTTTTCCTAAGTTGGTATTTTTGCATGTATCATCACTGAATGTTATTTGTTCATTTCAGACTTTGTCTTCAGGGGTCCAGATGATTGTTGATGATTCTGATCCTGTCCCTCTGAGTGCTTGTAACTTCTCCCAGCTTGATGCTTTTGGAAAGCTGTGTCAGCTCACACTCTCGGCACTACCCAAGTTGTTAGGAGCAGTACCGAGCAGACCGAGGCTAAGCAGAGCCCTGCAGGACCCCATTCAAAGGCCCTTCCAGTCCTGCAGGGAACCACTAATAACTCTCCTTGGAGCATGTTTTGCAGTTACCCATGTCCTTATCTTGTGGTGATTTAATTTAGAGCATATTACCCAAGTGGCCCATGACAGTGCGGCAGGGGGCAATGCCAAAGCTGGTATTCTGAGAACATGCCAGTATTTTGGGGAGTGCTTGTCCCCTTTGGAGATATAGTACAAGATTTGCAACAGCTGGAACAGAGGGAGAGGCAGAAGAGCTGGGTCTGTGCCTAATTAAATCTAGTCTCAGTAAGCACTGAGGAGACCTATCAGTGCTGTTGGACTGCTGTAGTATGAGCAGACATTGACAAGCCATACAGCATTTATGGATATGTTTTGTCTTGTTTTATGGTCTTACAATGGGGAATCTGGTCTCCGGAGTGTGTTACGTGAGGGCTGGATTTCAGGAGCATGTCTTCCCAGCAGCATCTTTCTGTCAGCCCAGGACAGTTTACACAAGAAAAAGTGATAAAGTATTTTTACACTTGACAACGTGCATCTGTTCTCTTGCTTCAGTGGTCTTTGGGAACACGTTTGTCATATCTTTCTAGACCTCTTGTCCTTGCTCTAAACCTGGATCGGGCAGGAATATAACAGCATCTGCCAGATAAACTACCTTGGAGACTACAGAGCCAAGAAAGGGGAAAGTACATGAGAGGACCCAGGAGTGGATGCAGTAAGAGTTAGGAAGGGTGTAGATAACATCCTCCAGGCAGGCCTTGGGACATTTTATGTGGCACATGGTACAGGGCACCTTTGCCTTGTGCTGTGCTCCAGCCATTGTCCAATTTACCCCTCGACATGTCCAAGGGAAAACAAAACAAAGGAAAACAAAACAAAACGTGGCTACAATTTAAAGATTGGGTAGTCAGGGAAAATTTTACAAGGTCCAGAATTTCATACGGTCCATGAGAGCTTATGAGGTCCAGGAGCTCCCATAAGGGAGTCCCATCCAAAGGACAGGCAAGTGATTCTTGTGCATCTATACATTTTCAGGTGGAGAGGCTGAGAGGGAGGGCAGGTAGCCCCTAGGATGAGATAAGATTTTCTTCCTGATGTAGCCAGATAGTAGCATCCAGGAGAGGAGAAGTGTTTTCTCACAAGGCTTTTCAGGTGATGAGGCAAAAAAGCCAAGCTGGCCAGGATGGCTGGGCTGCTTGTTTGTTGGAAAGAGGAGGTATGGGAAAACTGTTTTGAGTGAAAGGCTAAGGAAGTGCTGTAAGGAAAGAAGAGAGGAGAGTCTATGGGCACTGGCAGTTGCTGAGGAGACCCTGTGCACTGTCCTGCCTTGCCAGAAGCACAGCAGCCAAGACCATGTCTGGAGTCAGCACTGGAGGGGACAGGAGCCCTCCAGAATGCCTGGACCTTCCACTGCAGCAGGGACTTACACAGCATCTGCCAATAATCCTGACAGCTGCTCCAGCTGTGGCTGTCACCCCACGGCGTGGAACAAGTCTCCAAGGCAGGAGCAATAGACATCCAGCACCCTATGTGTTCTTGGGTGGGAAGCAGCGCTGTTATTCAACTCTGTGAGTTTTCTGCTCTGTGGGCACGTCCACCTTGGCAGGACTTGCTGGGTGTCGTTTCTTCCAGCGGAGGCTGGTGCTGCTGGGTGGATGGAGAAGCCTCCCCAGCCCAAGGGGTGCAGGCTGGGGCAGACACGTGGCTAATATGGCCAGGTACCTGAGTGGGAATTGCCCACTGTAGCTATAAAGCTCTCAAGAAGGAAATCATCTCTCTCTTGAACAAAACAGTCACAATCCCCCCCACTGTGGAACGGGTGGTAGAGCACCCCTGTTCCACAGCCTCAGAGGTGCCCTGGCAGAGCAAGGCGCATGCAAAGGCCCCCAATTTGGGCTTCAGGACTGTCAACATAGCTGAAGCTCAGTGGCTGAGGCTGAGCAAATGCTCCTGTGTAAGGGAAGGTTTCCCTCCGTGCCATCACTGGTTGTCCTGGAGGTTGACGGTGCACCATGCTGAGATGGCTGTTCTGGTACCTGTGTGCACCACCAGATGATTTTTCACCCCAAGTTAGCCTGCAAAGGCCTCCCCTTCTTGACCATGCAAGGGAAAACGCAGGGAGAGAGGAGGCAAAGCTAACACACTCCCTCCCCTATAGCTTTAGGTGCCCTGCTGCTCCTCCATGCCGGTGATCGCAAAGGAGGGCGATGCAGCCTTCCCCCCATGATGAGCTGGCTTCGCTGCGTGCAGCAGATCCCATGTCCCGACCTCGAAATCCCTTCCAAGCCGTGGATTTCAGGTGCCACTCTCCTTGGCAGCGGAGCCTGGCCAGCAGGAGTCCCTCTTGCATGTCTCAGGGAATCACACAGGATTTAAAAGGGTTTTGCTAATCTCACGCATCGGACGATTTCTGCTCCCGTGGCTCTCTTTTACGCTGCCTCTCCCACCAAAAGTAATCGCACCACTAATACAATAAATCACAACGTTACACCATCACTGATGCCAAATACAGTTTGCAAATGCTGCTGAGGGCAACCTGTATAGAAATACCGAAGCTGGGAAATAAACTTCTAACTTTCTGGATGAAATCTCTCTTAAGTCACAGGCTCATGCTTAGAGCTTTAGTCTCAAAATAATGAAGCAATAGAAACCTTTGCGAACAACCACACTTTCCTCCTGACATTGTCTGGCTTCTCCTTGAACTGTAGCATTCAGTTGTGGCACTGGAAAACTAATTTCTTGAAGTTAAGGGATTGTAACAGCCTGATAATATTGGTACTGAACACATAGGCTGCTGCTTTTTCCTACGTGAGCTGTGCTGCCAGTGATTTTGGTGAAAATGAGAAGAAAGATCTGCCCTTAATCACCTATAAGGGTATGAACTGTGAGTCATTATTCACTTAATTCTTAAATAACTTTTCTTCAGAAATCACAGCTTTACATTTGTAAATGTTACTAAAAATTAGGTAGAATTAATTCCCATCCATTTTTTAACTCCCACAATATTTATTCCAGCATTTGTTGGAATATATTCTGGCAGGTATTGGTGTTAAGAAAATTATTTACATTGGTATTACATAATTAAAAAAAATTGAAGGGGTTGCACACTTTGAATCTAAAGGTAATCATTAGTGCTTCTGTGCATATTTGCAGAGCAAAGTAACCGGCAGGACCCTACATTCTCATTAGGAATATTGAAAATTATGAGCCAGGGGAAAAAACTGGAAGAATAGAGAGAACAAAGCATTTTCACATACACTTTGAGACAATTCATCCAGCAACTGAGTAATAAACTAATGTTCTGGACCATGTTTAAAATGCCGGTAATTAGAAATGTAAAGTAGGAAAAGACTCAAGTACTTCACCTATTCTTACATCCATTAACCAATTACATATATTTCAACCTATATGGAGTGGTTACAATTTTTGGTGGTAAAAGAATGATTAATAACAACAACAACAACATGTGCATGCCATGTTTAAAGCTTCTCAATACATGCAATATGTTACACAGCGAATACTCACCGTACAGTATGGTTAACATTGACACAGGCATGACAAAGAAACCCAGCAGCATATCAGCTATTGCAAGTGACATTAGAAAATAGTTAGTGGCATTCTGTAGTTTTTTCTCCAGTGACACAGCCATGATAACAAGAATATTTCCAGCAATGGTTAAAACAATCACTATCCCTGTCAGCAAAGCTGGCCAGTTTTTCTGTGAAAGCTGAAACAGGGAAGAGTAGCACGGTGGACTCATGTTACTTTCACATGAAAGATTGGTTAGGTTTTCAGAGTCCACAGTCAAGTTAAAGAGATGCGATATATTAATCTCTCCAGCTCCATAAACATTTCTGTAGAGTCTTCTCTCATGATGTATTTGTATTAAGGAGTTTGCAGTTGGGTTCACAGAGCTCTCCTCATCACAAAGAGTATCCATTGCTGAGTCTGAAACCAGTGAGAGAAATAGTGAAAAATAGGAAATTATCGCCCTTTGTCACCATCAGGCTTTGTATTCCTCAGCTGTCCATGCCAGAAGTTGAGGGAGCACAATCTTTAGTCGACACTATTTTTCCCACTAGCGTGATATAGAAAAACATACCACAATTACTCCGAAAGCTGAAATGTTTTGTTTTCAGTTCCATAGGAAGTCCAGTGTTGGCATACATTGAAAATCCAACTGAAAAGCAAAACCGAACTGTAGGATAGAGGATGTAGACTTGAGGCTTCAGAGAGCAAAAACGTTGGAGAAATGAAAGAGAAAAAACTTTTGCAACCACTAGGACTCCCCTCTGGAGCTACATCTTATTGCTATTGGTAACTGTAATCACACAATTTTAAACACAGCAGTACTAAAATAGCTTGCCATACAGAACAGCAGAACTCTCGCTTCCCTATTAAGAAAGTTGATTAAAGATTCCATCCAGCATCTTTCACTTGAAATAATTAGATATGCTCTTATTTATAGTTCATCTTCCATAATATGGCTGATAGTCTCTGACTTCTGTTGTATTTCACTATCATTTTCAGCCTCGTATCGGAGATTACGCATTCTGCTCCACGCTGATTTTTATAGCTAATTGTACCTTTTGGCCCAGCCTGGCTTCAGAATGGAAATTAAACAACTAGATACTATGATAAAAAAAAACAATTTAAGGAAGACTTACATTGTACTTCAGAGCCCACTCTCAAACTGCAATGTGCACTTCGTACTCTGATTTACCATATTCTTCACTATGTTTAGCCAGGTTTGCGTCCTTTTTCTTCGGCGTCCTCCAAAATGGTGGTATTTGGAACAGTTTTTTGACTTCTAAACTGCACACTTGAGTGAAGCCAGTTCCTGTGCTGCGAGGCTTGCTCTTTTCTTCTGAGAGATAGGCTGCTTGCTGACTCTTTCCTTGTGCGTTTCCCCGCCCCAGGGCAAGCTATATTTAAAGTAATAATAATATCAGAGCCCTTCTTGAAGTGACACAAAAGAAAGAACACACACACATGAAAAAGCAGCCTGCACGGAGAATTACTGATTTCAACAGGAATGGAATTTCTTGCTCACTGCCTTGTTCGGTTTGTCAGACCTCCCACTATCTGGATGTCATAAACTGCAAGGTAGCAACAGCAGAGGAGGGCAGGGGAGAGCAGACCAAAGATGGTCTGTTTGGTAAACTAGCAGCTTTTGCAGTGTGTGTTTTGGAGGTCCTCTGCTTGGGTGCTTTTTCAATGCATGCTTTCCATTTGCAGAGAATGGCTTGCAAACACAGCTGGATGCAATTACAGTGTTTTACAGGATGCAGACTTAAAAGGAACAAAATCTAAGGCTTGCAATGGTAGATACTACTGAAAAATGTAAGTAAGAAGCTTTTTCCATGTAAAGGGGAAATTATGCCAGCGTTAAAAGGAAGAAGTAATATTCAGTCCCCTTCAGTTTTAACTCCAGGTCTGTGCTGTCATGTTAATCAAATTGGCAATAGATATTTATAAAAAATTGACGTAACTCTGATGTCGCGCTCATTTTTCAGGAGGTGGATATAATAGTTAGCCCCAGCAGCCTGTCCCAAATGAAGCAGTTCAGTAAAGCAAAATGGTATACAGCAGAGGGGGAAACAAAACATCCTTCCACCGTTTCTGCCTTGTACCTCTGCTGCCAGGACACAAATGAAGGAGTAGCCAACTCTTCAATTTGCCACCTAACACAAAACCTACTCGCAGATTTTCTGAGGCTTATGGGTGTCAAAATTTCAGCTGAGTGGGTCCGCTGCTCCGCTGCCCATCCTGAAATGTGTTGCAGATTTCCTTCATGTAGACAACAATGGCTTTATCCAGGCAGGCTCAGGCAGTTTGCAGTGAGAGCTCAGAGAGGTGCGAGTGTCACCGGGCACTGGTGGGTCCCTGTGGGCCCACGGGAGCTGCGGTGTGCTCCCATAGCTCAGCAATATGTGCAGCACTGCTAACCCCACTGCAGATCCCAGGGGGCTGCAAACACGTGGAGAGTTACTACACCTCAGCTGACATGTGCTAATCTCTTCAGGGATCAAAACTGTATCAGAGTGAGTCTCGGAGCAGCCGCTAAAGCCCGTCCAGATCATTGAGGCACTATTACAGAAAGCCTTTTACAGTAAAGTTTCTTTGGAGCCAGTTTTGCTCCCAGCTGAGCCCAGACCAACAGCCAACGCGGCAGGACGGAGCAGCCAGGCAGTAGCTCCACTGATGTCCACATGGAAGCTGGAAATGAGTCATCCCAGTATTGAAGTTTCCCAGTCCCATAGGTGAGGCCAGAAGACTAAAGGGCAACATGAGCTGGTAAAAAAGGCTGATAATGCTGGGTTTAACAAGAAATGTTTCAGCCCTGGCAGTCCCATCCAGGAGCCAGAAGAAGCCCTTTCCCTCTCCCTCTTAATACAATGACCAATGGGTTACCGTGTTCACCAAGTGAATTTGGCATCTGTGCTCCAGAGGGTTCATCAGCCATCCCTGTGAAGATGCTCTCAACATGAGAGTGCAGATCTGCTGCAGAGGTTGGGCTCTGCTTCTGTTGAACACAGCTATTCTACAAAACAGAGTAGGCTAGGGCTAAGTATAATCCTTTGCGGGGAACCCAGGTGTCCTGTTGTTTTCTTAGATGGCTCCCTTTGGGCTCTAACGACTCTAATGTAACAGTCATGGGTGGGAGGTACTTTTTTGCACGTGAAGACCCGAACTGTGGGTCAGAGTGTAGCTGCCAGCAAAGCCCAGTTTCACCAAGCAGAACTGTGCACCTTTCTTCCACTCCGAGAATGGGATGGAAGTTTAAAATCTGGTCTTCTACTTTCCTGAATGAATATGCTAAAAAATAGGCTGTGTGTAAAAGGCTTGTGAATCCTGATTTCACGTCTGCAGCTCTCCATGGACCTGAAGCAGATGCCTAGAGGACCTTCCTGTTCCTTACAGAGTAGCTTCATCTCCCTTTCACTGCAGTGGTGTGACTTGCACTTGGATATTTCATCCTTCCTCTGCTCCAATGACTCATTTAAGACTATAGCTCTGCTCTGGACATCAGGAGCATAAAAGGTAAGTGCAAACAGCCTGAATGTTGCCTTTGCAGGTACAGTCATAAGCTCTTCAGATAGGCACTGCACCATTTCTTTTGGTCTAGCTGTAGACACATCCCCACAAGGTCTGAGTGCCTTCTGAACCCTACTCTGTCCCCCCCGAAAACTATTTGACATATGTGAAACTCAGGCATAGGTAGATGAAATGTCTTTTTTACGTTTGCACATGAAACATGGAGGAGTCAGAAACCACTTTTGTGTAGCCCAGTATGTTAGAAACAAATCCGTGATTTTACGATGTCTTCTAGTGAAGTATGTTGGATATGCTACAGAGCACAAGAATATCGTATTATTTATCTCGGTATTTATTTTGACTGCAAAACCACTCCTCACACCTTCCCCCAAGAACCTGAAAATGGCTTCCCCTCTGTAGAGCATCATTATAGGGGTCAAGCAACAAAAAATTATCCAGCCTTCCTGTGCTGAACCCAGTGAAAGGAGGGTACCAGGGCTTTCACAGGTGCTGTCGTCTCCATGCAGCACTGAGCGTGCGCTCTGCCTTGGGACAACAGCGAGGTACAACTCCTAGATGGTAAGTCGTGTCTAAAGCCAGCCTTGACCATTGCTTTTCCTAAAGGCGAGTAGCTCTGGAAAACTGTAGGTCCCATGATCTTTCGTTTTTAAACAAACGATCTTGCACTGTGATAGCAGCAGAGCATCACACGCCGTGACTTGCAATCCCAGGCAGCGTATCCGTACTAAAACCAGACAGCTGCAGTCTGTCCCAGTCTATGTAAATTAAGTGAGATCTTAGCTTAAAATGGTGATACTGTGGTCTGCATTAGACATAAGGCATTCTTTAGAAACACAGCTGGCACAGGAACAGGCTACATATTGCTTTTTAATTTCTGGAAGGCACCAACGTATCAGATTCATGAGAGCCCCTCTTCTGTTCCCTGGCTCTGCTTGGAAATGTTGTAGGACATGAATCTGTCCTCTTGGGCAGGGTTTTATGCTTGGCATGGTGCACATAACTGCTTGCTAGAAATGCTGCTTTTCAACAATTTCATCTGAAAGAGGAGAAGTAAAAAAACTAGTTTACATAACTCAAACTTAGTGTTATCAGGATTATTTCAGGTATAAAAATCCATGGTTTCCAAGTTTGCCGTTGCCCTCCTTGATGTTTCGACTGCATTGTGTAATCAGTAAATGTATAAACTGCAGAGGTTAATGGTTCACTCTGACTTCTAAAAGTAGGGCAAGTGGAATGTGAATAATTTGTGTTGTGGTCGAGACTACTACTATTTGGTATCTCTGTTTACATTTATCAGGGGCTGTTGGAGCAGTTAATAGTGTGGTGCCTCAAGACATGATTCAGAGCCTAGTTATTATAAACCAGAACAAATAACTAAACAGTGCTGCTCTCTTTTCGATGCACACTCCACGCTCGAGTTCGTTCTGGATCTCACAACCTTCTTGACCCATTGCCATTGCAGTGAGGTGAGAACAGGTTGATATGACCTTTCCGAAATCCACGCAGGAGCAGCATCCCTCAACCTTACTGTCCACAGGTGATGATCCTGAGCAAGATGGGTGTTGCGGCACCAGCACCCTGCGTCCTCCCATGGGCCACGGGTCCTGATGACTGAAAACCTGTGGTGAGTAACTGGTGTGTTGTTGTGGGGGTCTCTGCTGCGAAACTGGCTGGCTGCATTGATTTGGTCTGGACTGCTTCTGAATGAGAACTGAGTATTAGAGGTTGAGGCTGAAGGGGAAGCTGGAATAACTCAGTTTAACTGTAATTTCTAAGTGTAATATGTACTAAGCAATCTGTAATAAGGAAATATATATCTATATAAAAACAACTATAACTCTCTAAACTTTCATGTCTGTCCCACACATGGGATATATGAAATGCTAGTTTCAGGCTCTGTTCAATCCCAGGTGAAGCTGTGGTTTCTCTCTTTTACTTTTAAAAGCCTGATTGTCTTATTCATTCATGAGTTTTGGAAA